CTTGACCCTTGACCCCAAAATCAATAGGGGTCATCTACTGATCATGACCATCACCATACCAAGTTTGAAGTTCTAGGCCTTAAGGTTCTTTAGTTATTGATCGGAAACCGTTTTTGCTTACAAGGTCAATGTGACCTTGACCTTTGACCCCTTGACCCCAAAATCAATAGGGGTCATCTACTGGTCATGACCAATCACCATACCAAGTTTGAAGTTCCTAGGCCTAAGGGTTCTTTAGTTATCACTCGGAAACCATTTGGTCTACGGACCGACGGACCGACGGACCAACGGACCGACGGACCGACGGACCGACAAGTGCAAAGCAATATACCCCCTTTTCTTCGAAATGGGGGCATAAATATAGGATATCTCAAGGTTGTTTTGTGAAAAGTTTATATTAAAATGTTACCTGTTGAGTGTAAATGTTCTGTTATATCTAGGATTATATTTGCAGATTCCATTGAAAAATTCCTTACACAAAATAAACTGATTTGTTATATATCTCATATAAGTGTAATAAAAAATAATATTCTTTAAAGAAATGCGCTATTAGAATTTTTCTTTTGAATTTTATAATAAAATGTAACCTGTTGTTTGTAAAGGTTCTTCTTCCTCCAGTAATTGTTCTGCAGATTCTGTTTCTAAAGCGACAATATTCTCTGAAAAAGAAAATATCTAACTTACATGTCTAGATTGAGATACCTGAAAATGGAAAATCATATATGCCCAACCCCTTGTAGACCTTATCCCAACATGTGAGTTCTACTTCAAAAAGCCAAATTTTCCGGATCTTGATAAATTCCCTATTCAATAGAGTTTTATCTAACGTTTGTTGAACTTTTAATGCGTCGTTTACGCGCAACTGTTGCCGGTATATTGATAAATTAGAATTTACATACACTATGCACTGTATCATCATTAGGAAATAATGTACACATATACTCAGGACCTGCATTTAAATTATGTTGTTTTTATGCAATTGTTAAAAATTTATGACCCGGTAGCATTTTTTCACCAATCGCAATATCAACAAACATATTTGCCTAATAAATTGTGACAGATATCATAGTTTTCTAAATATCTCCTTCTAGTAAAATATGTTGATGTAATTATGAAGCAATTCCAATAAAATATATTTATTCTTATTGTTGTCGTTAAAACTTGACATTAAAATGTAACCTGATGTTTTTAAAGGCTCCACTTCCCTCTGATTTGTCTCTGCGCATTCCATTTTAAAAGCAGTTCCCTCTGAAATAGAAATTATTAACATTGCTTTTGAAATTGGCATTGCTTTTGAAATTTAGTTAAGGTGAGAAAAATTCGTCAAGTTGAATACCCCCTGCCCCCAAACTGACAGTATTTTCCTCAAAGGGCATTGTTGTCGTATCCCAAAATGAAGAGTCAACTTGGCAAACCTCACTTACCGGAAATTGAACAATTATATGTAACCTTTAACCGTGTCTTTACTTCTATTCAGGATGTCAGGTATATCTATGCATTTCTTAATGAAAGAGTGTGTCAACGTATGTCGAATGTCATAGAAGGCTGCCCACGAAGGTTGCCGTTGCGTACAGTTAATGCAAAAGTTATATCCATTCACTTATCTTCATGATGTTTTGAGAAAAGTAAGTTAACATATTCTCAGGAACCTGCATATGATCTATATTATTTTTCTACATTTTAATAAGAATCCAGTGACATGTATTTTTCATATAACAGGATAACATATTGTATAATCATTTAGCTTCATAAGTGTGTTTAAAAATGTAACCTGTTGTTTGAAAAGGTTCAGGTATTCTTGCTGCAGATTCTATATATTGGGTGACAGTGTCTTCTGAAATCAAAAATAGTCAACTTTGTTTTTATATTAAGTCAAGTTTATTTTGTCCCTCTTCTACAGCCCGATGCTTAACGAACTGTGTCTTTAAATGAAATGTCAACTTCGCGTTTCACATTTCCAGGATAATGATAATCTTTAAAAGGTGATATGTTCAATATCTCAAATCAATGACACTGTAAAGTATGTTCCTAAAAGATAAAGTATATCTAACTATTCGTGTAAGAATTCGATATTATAATGTGTTTTTATATTGTTCAGTATTTTAATTGCAGATTCCATGTAAAAGAAATATCCGTCACAAAAATTAATTCATCACTCAAATATATGTAATTGAAAAGCATAATTATACCCATTATAGCAAGGATATCTAGATGTTTTTGCTGGAAGTTATTTTAACCTGTTGTTGTTTTCTCTTGTAGTTTTATTGGAGATTTCATTTAAAACATGTATCGTCAGAAAAATAGCTATGTTTCATATCTCAATGCAATGTAACTTAAAAGAAAATTCATATCAGGTATAAAATATTTTAATGTTTCCGCTAGAAATTTATATTAAAATTGTTACCTGTTGTTTGAAAAGGGTATGTTTCCTCCTGTAATTGTTCTGCATATTCTGTTTCTAAATCGACTGTGTCTTCTGAAATATAAAATCTTCCACTTTGATTTTTTCGGATTTCATGGCATGCAAATGAAATAACTTATGTATGTCCCCTACCTTCACTGCATGTCTCGTATATTTATGCATTTCATATAAGGTAGATATACATAACATAACAGTTATATCGATAATTAAATTGGTGTGTCAGTGTTACGTTATGTCTTACGTCATAGACGTTGTGGTGAGTAACGTTTTCCGTGACAAAGAAATAATGTAAATGTTCATGTTTTATACCCATACACTTACCTATGTGACATTTTTGAGAAAAAATGTTGAACTATTCTCAGGTCCCTGCATATGGAAATATATTGTCTCTATGCGATTTTGATACGAATCAAGAATCATTTTTTATCAATCCTATTTTCGTAAAACATATTTGCTTGGTCGTAACAACTTTTCTAGATTTCATTGCTCATATCATCAGAATAAAAAAATTGAATATCATTTAATTTTACATCAAAATGAGACCTGTTGGTTGAAAAGCAACTGCACCATCCAATATTCCTACAACAAATTCTAGTCCTTTGGCGCCAGTGTCTTCAGAAGTAAAACGATATTCAACTTTAATTTAATTCAAGTACATGCACTTATGCTTCTTTTCAACTCCTTTTGAAAACCCTATGTCTTTGCAAACTGTGTCTTTGTATGAATTGTTAAATTCGTGGTACATATTTCGAATATTTTGATTATCTTTAAAAATGATATGTTCCACCTCTTAACTGTAACTGTACGAGATATAGGACATTTAAATTATCTAAATTAATAATGCAACCTGTTTTTTGTGTAGATTGTGCTCCTTTCATTTCTCTTTCATCTTGTTCAATTCTGAATCGTCTACAGGAGGAATAAGTTTTAATCGGCAAAATATGACAATTAACTTTTACTCTCGCTTCCCTTTATCTTGCGCGTTTTGTAGAGTGCCAATATAACTTTTCATCTGAGAGAAGTGGGTTAATAATCGGATTTTTAGTAATGTGCTATCAATGTCAAGCTAACATGTTTATCTACTTGATAACATTTATTTCTTTGTGTTTTTCGCAATATTAAAAAAAAAACAGGTTTTCTAGATGCATTCATCTTTGAATACTCGTATAGTAATAAGTAAGCGGTTTGCATATTAAAAAACATAAATTTACCATTTTCGTATGAAGAATCCAGTTTTGGTTCTGCACGTGCTACGGTATTGGTTCCTAAAGAAGAAAAAAATAGCATTTTTGTTAAAAGAATTTTAAAAAATAAACTACGAAACAACTGTTTGCCTTCAAAAATAAAACGCATTCATTGGTAGGCTTTATTATTTATCACGGTTATAGAGTTTTATTTCTAAAGTTTTAATGACTTTGGCGTGCACAAACTTTGTAAATAATATAATCTCAAGTAAATTTTGCTAAACATGCTTTATTATACACATTGCTGACCATCTAGGTACTTACAAGTCAATCTTAACCTCAGATTCCTGCCAAACCAAATATGATCAATCATATTGTTTAAAGAAGTACAAAATACCTATGGCTATCTCATAAGTTTCTGTTCATATTTTCAACAATAGTATTTTCGCTACCTCGTTCATTTAACTACATCACCCTTATTTTGAAATGAATAATTCTAAAATGTCACCTCGAAATTTAAAATAGCCGTGCTATGGTCATAAAAACGCAAATAATAGTGCGTCTTGATAAATTTGTGTACACTATTCTGAATATAAATGTTTGAAATTCGCTTAAACAAGTGTATTTGTGAATTTAAAAAAATCAACATTCTTACTTAAACAGCTTGTTATGTTGGACTTTACATGGGTAAAGTTTAAGGGGTTAGTTTTCAATATCAGGTAGTCGAGAATAACATAGAATACATATTACAAATAACATAACATAATTGACACTTACTAGTAGAATCATCAAACGCAACGATGGTCTTATTCTCTTCAGATGTAATGCTGATGTCAATACTTTTTCCTCCAAAATCTGTTTTATTTTCGAAGAACATTTTCAATATCTCTTTACTTATAATGACTTGCAAATTGGTGATTTGTATCCTTTTAGGCTCGTCAATATCATCTTGAAAACGAAATATAAAAAAGTAATTATTTTAGTTGATATAATCTAAGTATGAGATTTTGCTCATATATATCTAAACTGGATTGTTATTCAAGTACAAGTTAGAGTTATCAAGTAAAAACAAATACTTACAGAAGACCAGACACTCGCAGAAAAGAATCATTTTAAAATCTCGGGAAAAAAACGTCTCTTAAACACGATTTGTCTTATGTGGGGAGACAGCATCAAAATAATTTTAACAGTTACGCTGATAATATTTGTCTGGCATTGATGAAAACAAGTCATTTCAACTAAACTTTTAACTGAATATTTATATTATAAATAAAAATTATTGTATACCAACCAAGTGTTTCTATTCCCACTTCCATTCCGAGTATTGCCATCGGTGTCTTCTTCATAATCCAATCAACGCCTTAAAAAGTAAATTTACTTATAGAATATAATTGAAATGTTCAAAATAAATCAATTTTAACTTTATAATAAAGGAAGACTTGACATTTCTGTGTTGACAATTGCATTTTAGATATTTTAAATTTTAATTTAAATTAAAATTGCAGTTTTGTCTTAACTTTAAAATCAAATAATATGATATACTTTCATTTAAACACTTGTGTCAACCATTGCAACAATGTAAGCGAATCCACATTATCTTTTTCTGTTAATTAATTTTACCTGTTTCGTCTTTGAACTCAATCAGAGCACATTTCTTCGTTCCATCAATGAATATAGCATTTACTTGTCCGCCACCCTTTTTTTCCTCTGTCTTAAAAAATCTTTCAAGCATCTCCTTATTGGTGTTTGCCGCTAAGCCAGTAATTTTTATTCTTCTTGATTTAGCATGACTTATATTAGATGTTGTATCTAAAATGTAAAATATACATGATTAATGAAAATTAGTAGTTTTTTTTTCAAAAATACTAATTTGCTACTCATTAATCCAAACGTAAAATATGAATGCATTACCTTAGGTTGTATAATTCGCACAAAAACCAAACGTAGTGTCCAAAATACATGTTTTTAAAGAAATTTGTTTGAGCGAATGATGCATGCAAACAGTTAAAGCCTTCAAACATAAGCATAGTATCTCTTTAGAAACATGTTATACTGTTTATATACTCATATGTGTTTAATAGCATAGATTTCATTTCTATATATCATCTCTGTCTAGAAATTATCTTATAATTATGGATACAATATGTTTTATCGTTTATAAATTATAAAATGTTTGTGTGTTTGTTTAAATGTATGTTCCAGTTAGTGTTTTTCCAAGTACCCCATTAGAAATACATGTAAGCTTCCGGACTTCCATTGGCAATCTGGATATAGACACCACAAGACACAAACATCTGCTAACGTAATAATATACGTTTTAGAATCTAGTCAAACGAAAATTAGATATTATTTTCCTTTCATTTAAAGGTTATATTGATCTACAATTGATTTGTATATCTATAAAAATGCGTGTCATATATGTTTACCAATGACCTCTACCGTGACATCCATACCCATTATAGATTTCGGATTTCTCAGCATAAACGCATCAGCACCTAAAATAACGATTTCAAACAAAAATAACAAAGAAACAAATAAACAAAAAAATAAGATCTGGCCTTTTCTTTACATAAAGGTATAAAATTGCTTATTGATGCTCCCCTTGCCGATACTTACACTACCATGTGAAAACATGACAGGAAGCGGATGTTTTACATGAAACGTGTTACTATTGCATATGTTTTTCAAAAACAGCACGGGCTCCGGCTTTAAATGTTTCCTCGAGCTTATATAGATGTTTATGCCCGAAACGAGGCATCACTTCATTTATAAAATTTGATAAAGATAAACAAATAGTTTTTATATACAAAATTTGCTTCATTTAATATTTGAATTTACTAACAATAACAATCACTTGGCATGTTATATTAATCACTGACATTAATATGTCATTTGCATAAAAAGATATAAATAGTTTGTGAAGCAAAAGAAAAACATTAAATATATATATATATATACCAGTATATATATTTTATGTGTTATCTCGAAAAATAAACATTTAAAAATTTTGATTTTTCTACTCATCTTGTATCCGAAAATTGACAAAATTAACAGAACCTTAAACACAAAAACATAAGTACTATAAAATTATAAAAAAATACCCGCTTTCTCCTCAAAATCAACCATAGCAAACTTCCCCTTCTGATTTATTTCAATACTTGTCACCTTTCCCCCGCCGTTTCTCTCTTCATGTTCAAAGTACATTGCAAGCATCTCTTTATTTGTGTTTTCATTTAATCCTGAAATTCTTATACGCGGGATATGCTGTGGTACCACAAGTGACGTATCTGGAACTGATGTAATTTAATCAATGTAAAAAGATACAGAAAGAAGAATTGGCTAAATTATTTATCCTTCTCGTTCATTGCAAAAGAATGATATATCTAAATAGAACTTCATAGAAACGGGCAACTGCCCATTCGACATATGATTTTGGACATTTACATTAGTCTCCCTTACATTAAATTTCATACCACAAATATAGCATTACAAATGGTATGGTATGCCAATATACACTGAATAGAAGTCACTTTTTAGAATCATAAGGTAAATAATTTTCTGTTTTTATTACACCTAAAAAGTATTTTTTGTTTGATAAGGTTAAACGCCATATTGACACATAAATGGCTATACCACGAACACTATAATTGAAACACTTGACAAGAGATCGAGATTGGGACACGTTCAGGCAGGTTTTATCATAAAATTTGTTAAATAATTTTGCTTTCTATTCAGATAATAAAAGTTTATTGTGGAATGTTAAACACCACTATTTGGTAAGTTAAACAGTAACACTAATGATGGAGTTTTTAAAAATTCTTAAGCCAAATCATCTACTTTTTCACTTTTTAGTTTTCTAGGTGGATTGAAATAAAACATAATTTTTTCACTAACTTTTTTTTTTAAGATATCATGAAATCGCAAAAAGAGTTTATTTATCATCAGTAAATCGGTTTTCCGATTAGTAGTGTACTCGTATAATGTGTAGCAGGAAAATTATTAATTTGTAGAGACGTCTGTGGGTTAAGGTCGCTGACTTCAAACCATTTGCCCACCATCGCCGCGAGTTTGAATCCCGAAAGGGGGGCTTTGGATTATTTCATGTGGGAAGCTTTCCAGCTAGCTAACGGTTCATCAGCGGTTCTTTTCATTTGCCCGATCGTACGTAAAATATTGCACAGAGAATGGCACCTGAGGTCTTCATCCATGCCTTCTGGAGATATGTAAGTGCTCTTTAACATTTTGATGAATATATTTCGGGTCTTTTTTAGGTTTTTCTAGACTAAATCTTATACCTGAAAGTCGAATAGTTTAATTTACATTTATTGTTCAAAAGTGTTTCGCTTTGATTTTGTCTGAAAAGTTTCTAGCAGGATGTTAAACTATTTGATGATACTATAGCCGTCTATGGGAGAAAAAGCTTTTTTTTCTACGTAGATAAAATGATGCTCTCCTGATTAATCACAGAAGACATGGTGATGTATTTTATCGAGCATTTGTAAAATTACCTAGTTGAACCATAAATAATAGAATCATAATTCTTTGATATATGAAATAAAGGATTTTTTTTTCAAATTTTACCAAGAGACATTTTGCGTCAACAACAACAGGAATTTTAGAACCGGATATGATATGTTAACTAGTCATTAGTCATTATAATATTATTATGTTTCCTTTAAATCGACATATATGAACATATGGAGTTTTGATTTTGAAACTTAAAATCCATTTGCTATGGCCCTATTTGAACTTATCTTAATTTTTGTTCATTTGTTTGCAATATTTTTGACCGATAGCATAGAAAACAATCATCCACATATAAAGAGTAATCTACACAAAGTTAAGAATCTAAGTAATATTGTTAATTATCTGACCAAATAGTGTGACAGAAAATATACTATCCTAAGAAAGCAAGATTGGCAGTCTGTGATTTAATCATGCATCCAGATCTTTAAGAATACTATGTGTTCATATTGCATCATACTAACCTTTTTCAAGATCAAAGCAAATTGATACCAAGCGCTGTTTATTAATAACACGAGCTCCTTTTCAATAATTAGGAAATTTGCCAGATACCTAAATGTTATTCAATGTTGTATTTCAAGAGATTTTATATGGAAAATGATGAAAACATTGATAGTAAATTCCATATGGACCTGCTGCTGTATATCTTGCTTTCTTTATAGAATCAACAAAAGCTTCGATAGAAAAAGAGTGAATTGTATATTTCATCATTTGCTTAAGTTAATTTAATTTGTTCTCGTTTGACTCTAGATTGTTGTTGTAGAAATGTATCTGAACAACTATAAGGAGCATAGTATTTTGCAAATATTTTGCCAATGTTTCGCAATGTTCTTTTTGTCAGTGAGATGTTGTTTGTTTTTAATAAATTTACCGATAAATTTTAAACTGCATTCCATACTTTCTTTATAAGGGTATTTGCGTTTATATTTAAATCATATGAATACCATGACTTGAGCCTAGATTGAGGAATTGTTTTTCAAGCTTTGATTCTTTATATTCTTTATGTTTCAAGGATTGCAGATGCTGAACAATGCTCCATTTTTTAATAGAAGCTGTCCTTTACGGTCAGCTTTCTTACATAAATTGTTAAAACATGGTTTCTTTATTTTGCTTGTCTTACTTATTTTGGTAGCTGGAATACTCTTGCAAGCAGTCTGGTATAATGTTGTAGAACAGGTATCAGTTATGTCATCAGCAGGCTTACCTGATGAAAGTGTCTCAAGAGGAGGACATTTACATAAGTTGGCCTGCACTGCAGAGTCAACCATCTTTACCGACTTTGATACAGAAGGAGAATAAAACAGCTGCCTTGGTCTCTGGTTTTCAACTAGCTTGCGTGCATCTGGAAATGGAAAAAAAAATGTGTCAATTAAGCTATACATTTTTATGAAATGTTGTCTCTTGATTTTTAATGATAAATGTGAAGCACATGATTTAAATCGATGGTCTTTACGAGATTCTTGCATATCAGACATGATTCAAAACTGATCACTCCGATTAAACATACTGTCTTACACTAATGTATCACAAGTTGCGTGTTTTGAATGACGTTTTTCCCTTTTATTAAATGAGAATTCAAAACAGACTGCCATCACAGACAGAAAATCTAGTGGTCATCGGCAGTGCCTCGTTACCAGCGTAAAATATTACCCTCGAGCTAGACATTCCGGTCTGTACCGGCAGCTGGTTTAAGATCCTTAAGAAAGTGTTCCTTGCGATTGCACTTTTCAATGTTTTTCCTGTTAAGTAATTGATATGTTTATATGTTGTATCAACGCCCTTAATCCATTGAAACGAATTTGACCTTGGGTATTAAGCTTTGATTTATATACTTCATTAATGTTGTCTCCATGAATTGACGAGTTAAATCATTAACTAAAATAACTAGCTTACCGAAAGCTTCAACAATTACTTCAAAGCCAAAAATTGTTAACGGTCTCTTATCCATAACTCCATAAACAGCTGAAAAAACATCAATATCTTTCTTTCTACGAAGAAAAAAATCCAATAATGTCATAATTAAACGTTACTTAATTGACAGGAAAGTTCTGAACTATTTTTTGTATTAATATAAAAGCACAATAAAATTATATCGTATTTTTAAATACATGTAGGAGTTATTTAAAAAGATTAATATAGATTGTACAATCTTGGAAAATATATTAAGGTATTATTATGAATATCACACACTAATATGTGCTAAAATGAAAGAAATATATTGTGTGTAAGCTTCAATGGTTTATAATTTAAATCCTTACCGACTGACTTGTCAAACTCAACAATGGCATAAGAGTCGTTAGTGTTCACTGTCACATCAACCACTTTTCCGTCATCCTCTATCTCGCGTTCAAAGAACATTAACAGCATTTCTTTATTTATATTTGCCGGGAGTTTCGATATTTTTACCATTTTTGGCCCTTCTATATCACTTTCTAAAAATAAAATATACGTATCCTACTGTAATATTTGGACAATATATATTAAACATAAAAATGATTTTATTCCTGCATATTTGATCATTTGTAATTGCTATTTAGAGTTATCATTTTACATTAAACTTGAAGTTTGACATAAACAAAGAAATATTTTAAAAATGGAATACTATTTGATATGAGAATTATGTATACCATTTTAGATGAGAGGGATTATAAGTTAGCTCTATTAATTTTGAAACATAGTTAAAGTTGTACTCACCAATTACTTCTATATCAACTCGCATCCCAAATATTGTCATTGGTGTCTTTCTCATGATCAAATCAACACCTTTAAAACAGATGGTAAAACCATTCAATGATCTATTGAGAATGAAAAACACATATACTGTTGCGCAGAAAATTTGGGAAATAAAAGTTGTTTTAAGCAATTAAAAAACAACAAAAACAAACAGAATATTTAAACAACTGCAGTTCAATATTTATGCAATACTTAAATCAATATAAACAAATTGAAACAATTTGAATTACAAAATATTGTCACCTGTTTCGTCTTCGAAATCAACAATGACACATTTGTCCTTGTTATCAATGACAATTTCTTTCACTTTTCCACCACCATCCCTCTCTTCTTTATCAAAAAACATTTCAAGCATCTGTTTATTTATATTTTCCATCAATCCGGTAATTTTTATACGTGTTGAGTTTGCATGATACAATTGAGGGGTTTCTAAAGTTAAAAATAAAAAATGAAAATGTAGTTGGACTTTGATGATGTGCTTCATAAACACATTTCCAACATAAAATTGTCAGTTGATATTTTGGTATTAACTTTAAACAAACGTACGCAAGTCATAATTTGCTTTATGTTTGAACAGATCGATAACCAGATATGAAATGATGAACAATTATAGATATACCATTGGCTTATTTGACAAATGTTAAAATTATCAAGTCACATGAATGTAACATATGGAAGAAAACCTTGTCTCATGTTACGTTTATAATGTTTACTAGAGTTTAAATATTCCATGAAAATTACCAAGTACTGTAACAGTCACGTCCATGCCCAGTATAGACTTAGAGTTCCTCTGCATGAAAGCATCAACAGCTGTAATAAGTAATAAAATCAATGTCAACAGATACGTTAAAACCCGTTGTTCGAAATAGACTATAACAATAGGGAAGCAGAAGCGTACGGTTTTAAATGAAAAACATCCTATATTTTACAAACATATGAAAAATCTATGTATAAAGCATTACATGAAACCAAATAATTCTTAAAAATGTAAAGGAAAACAAAAGAGATTTTAAACATATTAAAAAATTATATCCTGTATCTATCTTTTCTCAAAACCCGTTTTTGTTTTATTCACAATCAAATAGCATTTCTTCTGATGAAACCATAGAGAATAGCTATTTAATCATGTTTTAGTTTTGCTACTAAAACAACTGACGTTTTAAAAAAAAATCTTCTTCTTGAAGACAAATCAGATCGGTATACATATTAAATATGAGCATGCTTCATGTCAGTGTCAATTTCATATTTTTTTGTTTCTTTGTTTATTAATGTTTGCAATCATACAAATAGTTTTTAACTCGTTGAAGGCCAAGAAAATTTATTATTTTCAAATTATACTTCTCGAACAAATTCAAAATTGACTCTGCTTTAGAAGAATTTATAATCAAATGTATATGGTAAAACAATTTAGATACTCTTGTCTGAAATCTTATAGTTTTTTTCTATTATGTCTTGCGTGTAGAATAATGTCTTGTGCAACATACCATGGCTTTGAATTTAAGCTATACCTTTTAAATTGACAAATTGAGATATAATAAAAAATCTAGAAATGTAATGGATGTCGCATCATCCAACTTTTAAAATTGTCTTTGAACTTTACACATTGACCTACCTTGAAGCTTTAAGTCTCAAATTTTAAGTGTGAAAAAAAAACAATTAAGTGTTTATTATACATCACACATGGACCTTTTAAAATACTAAGGATGTCCGCTTTTGACAAGAAATCACTTTGAATGTGGCATCATGTATTGCTTACTGATAACAAAAACACAATAAACGCTTCTTTGCGACCTACGTTGCACCCATCAGTTTGCTAACTAGTATAATTGTGATTATAATATCAGCACTTTTAAGTGACCAAGTTGATTTGAAATGATGATACAATGATTTTCTTATGATGTTACAGGTAATACATTTTTTTCATCAGTCGTTTTTAATTATACACTTCCAATTGTTGGAAAATAGTCACAGTAACAACTACATTAAAGCTATCATTGTAAGAAGCGTTTCAGATATTCTTAATACTTGCAGAAACAAATACCTGCTTTTTCCTCGAAAACAACTGTAGCACATTTACTCTTGCTATCGATCTCAATACTGTTTACTTTTCCGCCACCTTGTCTTTCTTCATTTTCGAAGAACATCTCAAGCATCTCTTTATTGACATTTTCCAATAATCCATCAATTCTTATACATGGTATATCAACCTGTGTATCTAAAAGACAAAATATATTTAAAATACTGCCTGAAACATTATAAAAAGCATTATGCTTATTCGCATAATTAAATACAATTAAATATCTTTTTTTTACAATAAGCAACTACTTTAACATATTTTTAAATGATATGTAATAGGTCATGAATTCAAAAGATAATTTGGTGAGGTGTTTTTTTGTACATTTGGTTGAACCTATCTGCACGATAAGAATTTAATGTTATTGTTTCTAGGCAAAAAAACAAAGAGTAGCAAAAGAGTGCAAACTCAAAAATAATATGGTATCATTCGTGTAAAATTGTGTACGCTCCCGCGCGAGTGTGCTTTCGAAGTAATTACCTTTCCACATCGGACCTGGGTTTGGTTCAACACCAGCAATCATTAAAAGAATGCCAATAAAAAGCAGACAACCAGCAGTTTTCATGTCATTGCTAACATAGATATTCTTGACAAGTGCTGTCACATCACCACTCCGCGACTGTCTGTAGTTTTCAATAGATTTACCACATCTAGAATGCTTGAAGGTGCCAATTCGCGCTCTATATGTTTGAATATCAACACCCATTTTCTCTAAAAAAGAATATGTAAATTCTTCATTTAACAACGACCAAAATGACAAACACAAGATTTTATTTAAAAATTTAATTTCTTACAATATTATATTTTATTTCTTGGTATTCAATATTTGTGCAGGGTTGCACTGCTGCTTTTAACTGCTTGTTTGACTAAAATGTTTTAATGCCATGTCATGCTTCTTTATGGGACTGTGTGAAATGTCATTTCATTCTTAGTGATCAAACTTAATGAGAAATATCTATTCAATGGAAATTAGATGGAATAGGAAATAGTATTTTTGTTATTCATTTAGATTCAGACAGTTTGTGAAGCTTAAGGTTCAATTGCCTATAATGTCAATAATTAAATTATAAATATTATATATTACTGAGCAGAAATATTTAAGAAATCTTATATGTTACCAGTTGGTTTGTATTTTAATAAATTAATTCATTTATTATGAACTATTTATAATAAGAACGAATTCAGCATTGTTATTATTATTTTATATGAAAGGAGCAAAAACGTAACGAACCCATTTCGTACAGCTTCGCAAAACCGTACAAATTTAAAATTGTTTGACTAAAATGTTTTAATGCCATGTCAGCTAAGTATGCTTCTTATTGGGACTGTGTGAAATGTCATTTCATTCTTAGTGATCAAACTTAATGAGAAATATCTATTCAATGGAAATTAGATGGAATAGGAAATAGTATTTTTGTTATTCATGTAGATTCAGACAGTTTGTGAAGCTTAAGGTTCAATTGCCTATAATGTCAATCATTAAATTATAAATATTATATATTACTGAGTAGAAATATTTAAGAAATCTTATATGTTACCAGTTGGTTCGTATTTTAATAATTAATTCATTTATTATGAACTATTTATAATAAGAACGAATTCAGCATTGTTATTATTATTTTATATGAAAAGAGCAAATACGTAACGAACCCATTTCGTACAGCTTCGCAAAACCGTACAAATTTAAAATTGTTTGACAAAAGGAAAAAATTAATTAAAAGATTGCAAAACCGCGTCTATTACCTCAAGTTTAGCGTTCCAGCAATTAGTTTAAAGATGTGAAGAAATCTAATCCTCGGTTAGATACATCAGTTGTATTCTTCAATATCTGCTTGTGACTGGAGGTGAGCTGCTGTCAGGTCCGGACATTGAAAAATATTCGATACACCCTTTAATGAAAGGTCAGTTTAAATCTAATGTGCAATATGAAGGTATATTTAAGGAAGTGGTTAATCAAATGTGTCCACTTATTGTCATAAAAAGCAACCACAACAACAACAAAATTGACATGCACAAGTAAAATGCATTACGAAAACTGCCTTTCTACAAAATGTGACCTTTAAATCGTTTATTGTTATCCACCAGACATGTCACATATAACAACCTTAAAAATGTGCTAGTAATAAAATAAAATTCAAAGTCGTGATTATTAAGTAATAAGAATCGACTAGTCTTAAAAGTAATATATATATATATATATATATATTATATATATATATATATATATATATATATATATATATATATATATATATATATATATATATATATACGAGGGTTGTCCCAATATTCTGTGACAAGATTGATTAAAAGCTAAATAAAACAGGTAAGAATTTGATATTTTAATATGTTTTAAACCTATATAATTTAAACATTTTCACAAATTTTCATAGATAAATATATCAACAAACAACAAAAATATGCCATAAACACCATGGCAACTAACTGCATCGCGGCGCACGTCCAACGTCAAAGACGGCATTAAATGTATATAAGGCGCCTTTCTTAAATACTCTCAATGGCTTTCAACGCAATAATGGTACCCATAAATCGTCAATTTCTGACTTAAATTATGTGGTTGTTAATGTCTGTTGAATGTTTGGATGGCAAACATTAATTTTCGCTATACGCGAACTTCCGGTCTCGTTACTCCTGTTTTAGCTGTAGGAAATAGGCGACGAAGATCGGTCTTCCTATCCGTGTTTACCTTATTTTCGCTTTTTGTAGCGCAAAACTCTGGTTCCGTTCATGCCTTTTGTACACAAATGCTCAGAATATGTTGCTAAACTGTTATAGTTGGTATATTTGTTGAAAATCGTTACATGTATCATCTCGAAATAGTCATGAAACCTGAGTGACATGTTCACTGCGCCGCAAATTCTTCGAACGTCGCCATTTTAACTTTCCTATTTTATATGAGATATTTTCATTTATTCGTATCTTTTTCGTTTTTTAAGTTATTAAACTAAAATTTTCAGAGATGATTTAAACATAGCAGCAGAGGAAGTCAACGTGACATTGTGCAGACACATCATAAGATATTTAAAATATACGTAATTAATTTCAGCCTATTCATAACAAAATGTAAATTATTTGACGTGCGCCGGCAACTTAAACCAATGTCGTTAATACTGAAAATTTCTAAGAAATTAGGGTAATTTTTTTGTAAATGATTTGTTGTAATGTTCAATAAAGAACTTAACGGTTATATGTGTGATTTTTTTTCTATTGGCGTTAAAAATGAACCGGCTATAAAATTTGTCACGGACTTTTGGGACAACCCTCGTATATATATATATTCACACATATCTTCACTTACGGGGCCTCTATATAAGACCGAGTTGAGTGGCATTATTTCATGCAGTCAGTTTTTATATACGCCACCATGTAGGCATAAAATGAACATTTCCATACAACAGAACTAAGGGGTACTAAGTTATATATATCAACTATATATTTGATTTTACCATAGGTGAAAACATATTGACCAATAACATAACACCCCATAATAAATATATAAATTTGTGGGATATATACCATTTACTACTAAAACCGGCATACGGGCACTATGTTAGAAGGGTAGCCTACGCCCCCATACATCGTTTTAAACATGCCAGAGTTGCGAGGCCTTATGTATGCCCCACATTAAATATAAACCCCACAAGTATGGTCTGAAATAGACCGATGCCCCGTAAATGGAGGAATGTGACATAGTGCCCGTAGGCCGGTTTTAGTAGTAAATGATATATGTCCCACAAATGTATATATTTTTAATGGGGTTTTATGTTATTGGTCAATATGTTTTCACCTTTGGTAAAATTAAATATATAGTTGATATATATAACTTAGTACCCCTTAGTTCTGTTGTTTGGAAATGTCATTATATGCCTACATAGTGGCATATATAAAAACTGACTGCATGAAATAATGCCACTCAACTCGGTCTTATAAATAGGCCCCGTAAGTGAAGATATGTGTGAATATATATATTACTTTTAAGACTAGTCGATTCTTATTACTTAATAATCACGACTTTGAATTTTATTTTATTACTAGCACATTTTTAAGGTTGTTATATGTGACATGTCTGGTGGATAACAATAAACGATTTAAAGGTCACATTTTGTAGAAAGGCAGTTTTCGTAATGTATTCTACTGGTGCATGTAAATTTTGTTGTTGTTGTGGTTGCTTTTTATGACAATAAGTGGACACATTTGATTAACCACTTCCTTAAATATACCTTCATATTGCACATTAGGTTTAAACTGACCTTTCATTAAAGGGTGTATCGAATATTTTTCAATGTCCGGACCTGACAGCAGCTCACCTCCAGTCACAAGCAGATATTGAAGAATACAACTGATGTATCTAACCGAGGATTAGATTTCTTCACATCGTTAAACTAATTGCTGGAACGCTAAACTTGAGGTAATAGACGCGGTTTTGCAATCTTTTAATTAATTTTTTCCTTTTGTCAAACAATTTTAAATTTGTACGGTTTTGCGAAGCTGTACGAAATGGGTTCGTTACGTATTTGCTCTTTTCATATAAAATAATAATAACAATGCTGAATTCGTTCTTATTATAAATAGTTCATAATAAATGAATTAATCTATTAAAATACGAACCAACTGGTAACATATAAGATTTCTTAAATATTTCTGCTCAGTAATATATAATATTTATAATTTAATGATTGACATTATAGGCAATTGAACCTTAAGCTTCACAAACTGTCTGAATCTACATGAATAACAAAAATACTATTTCCTATTCCATCTAATTTCCATTGAATAGATATTTCTCATTAAGTTTGATCACTAAGAATGAAATGACATTTCACACAGTCCCAATAAGAAGCATACTTAGCTGACATGGCATTAAAACATTTTAGTCAAACAATTTTAAATTTGTACGGTTTTGCGAAGCTGTACGAAATGGGTTCGTTACGTTTTTGCTCCTTTCATATAAAATAATAATAACAATGCTGAATTCGTTCTTATTATAAATAGTTCATAATAAATGAATTAATCTATTAAAATACGAACCAACTGGTAACATATAAGATTTCTTAAATATTTCTGCTCAGTAATATATAATATTTATAATTTAATGATTGACATTATAGGCAATTGAACCTTAAGCTTCACAAACTGTCTGAATCTACATGAATAACAAAAATACTATTTCCTATTCCATCTAATTTCCATTGAATAGATATTTCTCATTAAGTTTGATCACTAAGAATGAAATGACATTTCACACAGTCCCAATAACAAGCATACTTAGCTGACATAATAATAACAATGCTGAATTCGTTCTTATTATAAATAGTTCATAATAAATGAATTAATTTATTAAAATACAAACCAACTGGTAACATATAAGATTTCTTAAATATTTCTGCTCAGTAATATATAATATTACTGTATTGTATTGAAATACAATGTTTATGTGTTCTTTACAATATAAAAATGTTAATGTAAAAATTATTTGTATTCAGTTACATACTTTTCTCATATACTATTTGTAACCGTTATTCTGTTAATGGCGACGGACATTGCAAAGTGTTTATGCCTTTTGAAATAAAATCTTGAATCTTGAAATCTTGATTATCCGATAAAATAAGACAATTCACAAATTACGAGTAGGTTTAAAAACATAGGCAGTGTGACAAGAACATCTCAACAATAAGTTAAGACTAAGTTAAGTGTGAAATATCGAATACATACTTGTAAGCGATACATCAATAGGAAACAATCAATCTTTGACAAAAAGACTTGTAACTCTTTATCAGTAGATAACCGCGAACAAGAAACAAACAAACAAAAAACACACAAAAATAAACAAATGCATGTAAAAAAAATCGCTGAAAGTAGACGCTTGATTAAGAACTTCCAAAATCGCAAGTTTGCTGTACGCGAAAATAACCTGATATACTGTATTTCATAAATATACCCTATATAAATATAAGTCCCCTACCGGTTAGAACCCCATCAACATTCTGAAGGGCCATTGGCCATTCACTAATGTTTCAATTTTTCTCTATTTTAAGTAAATTTGTTGGAAAAGTTCTTTAAAAGTGATCACAGGAAACAGTTTTTATGAACAGACAGACAGACGGACTGAAGGACACTCTACAGTTAATATTTGAAACATCCCTGTTACCAAAATATAACATTTTAAAAGCAAAATTCTTAAAGAGGAGATAACTCTTGAATTAAAATGTAATTTCATAAAGGAATTATCATAGTATTGCAAGCAATCCATAAGTCCCCTACCAGTAAGAACCCCATCAACATTCTGAAGGGCCATTGGCCATTCACTAATGTTTCAATTTTTCTCTATTTTAAGTAAATTTGTTGGAAAAGTTCTTTAAAAGTGATCACAGGAAACAGTTTTTATGAACAGACAGACAGACGGACTGAAGGACACTCTAAAGTTAATATTTGAAACATCCCTAATACCAAAATATAACATTTTAAAAGCAAAATTCTTAAAGAGGAGATAACTCTTGAATTAAAGATGCAATTTCATAAAAAAGTTTCAGCTCTTTTTGACTAATCACAAATATTGTTATATTTGCCATGATTTAAGCCTATTTGTTGCCAAGGCAACAGATATTTTTTCAAAATAGGAAGGACAGATAAAACATGCATAATCTCAAGACTGCTATCTAGCCATATGTCAAGTTTCATAAAAATATTTCCAGTACTTTTTGAGTTATCACTGGATTCAGTTTATGTGTAAAATTTGCCATATTTTCAGTCTGTGTTGCCATAGCAACCAGAATTTTCAACATAGGAAGAAAAGAAAAAGACGTGCAAGACTGCCATCTACCCATATGTCAAGTTTCATAAAAATATTTCCAG